GGTTGTACCTCCTTACTAACAGCTTTGGCTTCACCAGTAGTCACCTCTTCTCTTTTAGTCGAGGGCTTTTTATTCTTGCTTTTCATGCCATCATCAGCTTTCAGCTCCTTCACAACGCGGTTCTTCAAGTAGAACTTTGCATCGGCGAAGTGTGACTCAGCCTCGGTGAATGGCTCATCATCAGCAACTATCCTCTTCTCGACTTCACCCTCGTAGTATTTTAAACATTGATGGTAGGTAGACGGAACTACTTTATTCTCATGTATCCAAGGCCTCCCAAGCAAAACATTGTATGAAGTCTTCGCGTCGATCATATGCAGCCATGCACTTGATTGCATATCTTCAATAGTGATTCCAGCCTGATCGCGCCTATGGCTCTTTGCCCCCTTGGTTGAATCCTTGGATCATCACACGACTTTCTGAGAGTTCGTTCATAGGAATACCAAGTTCTTTCACAGTATGGATTGGCAAAATGTTCACTGAGGATCCTCCATCAACCAAAATCCGATTTACCCTTTCATCGCGCATATAGCCAACCAGGTACAATGGGCGGTTATGAGGAGTTTCACCTAGCAAAAGATCGCCATTCGTGAACGTGACCTTTTCCTCACAAGCATTAACTTCTTGAGGAGTGGACTCGATGGGTTTTTCCGAAGATGGTGCCAACGATAGGTCATCACTATTTTCTTCCCCTTTGTCAGCATGGCAACAAGAGGCCTCAACACGATCACAGGAAATCTTCGTGCGGAACCAAGATGGCAAGAAATCCTCCAAAGTCACTATATGTCGTGGCTTTTGAGGGTGGTGTATCTCCACTTTTGCTTTCTTCAAACGCTTAACTGGATTCTTTTTCATTGGTCTTTTTACCATCATCTTCCTTGTTGGTTGTTCTACTGATTCTTTTCGTGGGCTCCTTTTGTGGCACCTACGACGAGTCACCAATGTCCAACCTTCATCATCATCAGGTTGATCGTCTTCAACTTTGTTGTTCTCCAGTAATTCTTCATTTTTACTTTCTTTAATACGGCATAATTCATCCATACTAAATGAGCCGAAGGTGATAGAGACTTGGTTTGCGCTTGCTTTCTCATCTTCCAGGACGATCTTCTTTTCGCGAGCCAAGCCCATGACTTTGTCCTTAAAGACAAAGCACTTCTCCAGAGGGTGGCTTACAAGTCGGTGATATTTGCAGTAGTTTGGGTCATTTGTTTTCCCAGCTTTATTTGGTCGCTTCATCTCCGGAAGCTCAATGAGATTTAACTCGAGGAGTTCTTCGAAAATGGCTGGCACATCAGAATCCAGGAATAGGTACTCTTTCTCCTGCATCTCTTTTAGAGTCAACTTTCCACTTGGCTTGTCTTGAAAAGAAGTGGATTTCATACTCTGCTTCTTGCTCACCTTCGTCGTGAACTTCATAGGTGACGTATTGACATTCATAGCTTCTTTACTTTCAGACTTGGGTATGAACTTGCCCCACTTCCTGACTTCTTGCTTGTCATTCGCTTTGCGAGGTTCATAGATGGGCAGCCTTTCATATCCAGTGGAGGCCATGCTCAATTCCATGTCATGGGCACGAGTTGTAAGTTCTTCAAATGTGCTAGGCTTGATACCTTGCAAGATGTAGCGCAATCCCCAATGCATGCCTTGGATGCACATCTCTATGCATGAAGCTTCATTAAGCCTGTCTTTGCAGTTGAGGCTTGCATTCCTCCAACGATTGATAAAGTCGATAACTGGTTCCCCCTTTCGTTGACGAGTATTTGTAAGCTCTATCATACTCACCGTGCGTCTTGTGCTATAAAAGCGATTGAGGAATTCTTGCTCTAGTTGATCCCAGTTGTCGATAGATCCAGCCTCGAGGTCCGTGTACCAGTCAAAAGCGTTTCCTTTTAGCGAGCGGACAAACTGCTTGATGAGGTAATCTCCATAAGTCCCAGCATTGTTGCACGTCTCCACGAAGTGCGCAACATGTTGCTTCGGGTTACCTTTACCATCAAACTGTTGAAACTTCGGAGGTTGATAGCCAGCAGGCATCCTCAACATATCGACCCTTGCAGTGTACGGCTTTGCATATGTAAGGGAGGATTTGGAAGCAACTTCATATTTGTTCTTAATGGTTCCTTCGATGAACTCCTTCAGTTGATCGATTGGAATCATCCCTTCAGATAAGACAGGGATAGCCTTAGTGGATGCTGCTTGTCTTGGGAGAGAGTCACTCTCTAGAACTTCTGGGAGCTTGCCGGGTGCATGGGTAGATTCTTCTTCCATCAAGATTCCCACCCTGTCTGTTAGCTTGTCAATTCTAGCCTCTTGATTTTGCATGCATTTGGTCAAGCTAGCGATCGCTTCCGTCAACTTTGCCAACTGCTCCTCCATGGATGAAGTGTTTGTCACTATGGCTTGCATGATTGTCGTGGATGACGGAGAGTAGCATGGATTTTCACACAGATTGATCCTTGATTGGCTCACGCTATGTGGTGTAAGTGGGGAGGATCCATCACTTGAAGCATCATCATCTTCCTTCACAGTAGAGTGCTTGGAGCCGGAGAGGTCAAGCAGAGCAAGAGTTTTCTTGATCTTTTCAGCAACATCGCTTCCTCCTTCAGATGCGTTTGTGGCAGATCTTGCTCCTTTTGAGGATGAAGATCCGAAAACAGGGGTTGATGCGGACGGCACATAGGGTGCTTGTTGTCCTAAAGAGCTTGCTTTTCTCCTCGTAACTGGTTCGAAGCTTTCAAAGGTGACATCGAGGATGCTTTCCACATCAGCATAGAACCTGGAGTTAGCAGCCTTGGTGGAAGTTGAAACTGAGTTAATTTTCTTTGAAGCCATTTCAACGTTCTTGAACTTTGGTGATTGAAAAGTTGAGATGAGAGGTAGAGATTGTCCCACTGGGCGTGCCAGAATTTGTAGACAATAAATTTGCGTCGAGAAAATAATCGCAACAATCGTAGTATTTTATTTCGAATATTTGAGTGTACAATCTCTATGATTCCTCTGATTCTTCTTTCCAATGGTGAATAAATTCAAGGGCCTTGGAGCTTAATCTTGAATCAATGTTTGTTGTCACGAACGATGATCTTGTTCTTAAGCTTGAGTTTGATTGCTTGAACTTGACCTTGATTTGTTCTTCGTTCTTGAACTTGAACTTGATTTCTTGAGCTTGAACTTGAAGCTTGAAACTTGTGGAGAAATTTGCAGCGTTTGATCCACGAGCTCTTTCTTGCTTCTTGGTGTAACTTCTGATCCCTTTTCTGAGTTATGAAGACCCCTATTTATAGTTGTGGAAGGGAAGAATTATGATAAGAACAAACTCTTTCCGACCAATCAAATTGAAGTGTGACATGATCGCATTTGATTGGCCAAAACATGTCACTTGCACCCGTGGCACGATTTCATTGGCCTTTTAGTGTGACTTGGCATGCCTTGTCATTTTGACACGTGGCATGATCCTATTGGCTCTTCCGTTTGACTTGGTGCGCTACGTCATTTGACACGTGGCACCAAACTGGGCCTCTAGGAAGATGACATCTTGGGCTTAATGAAGTGGGCTCGTCACTTTAGCCCAATTAAATGGGCTAGCCCAATGGATTAAGATTATTTTATTTAATCCATATATATTGGACCTATATAATTAATTCATTTATATATTAGCCCGTAACATTTATTTGGATTAATATATCTTGAATTTAAAATATAGTCCAAATTATTTTATGAATTTAATTTATGTAAAATTTATATGTCTACAATAACTTCTTTTAAAATTTATTAGCTGCCGTTCTATAATATAATTGTGGTGTATATTTAATTTAATGTGAAAATTTGTGTTTGTAACTAATTATTATAGTACTTACTTTGATTAAAAGTAGTGAATATCCCTTTTAAAATGTGTTGAATATTTCAGGACATTTGAAACTCAAAAGAAGCATATAGTGATATATACTTAGAATTAGCAAAAGATGGGTACAGAATAAATAACGTATAATTAATCAAAATGAAAGAGAAAAATAATTGTTGAGATAATACGACATGCTCTTTGTTCTAATCCGTATTGCATGTTTATTTACTATTGAGGATTACCCGATAGGTATTTTTGGATGTATGCACAATAACAGAGACACCCCAAAAAAAAAGGGAAATTACCAGTTATGTCCATTTATAAGTAGCTCATTACAAAAATTGGCCAATTGATCAAATATTACTAATATTAGTCAAATTAGCCAATTAGCTATTTGAAGCAAAAAAATATCAAATTTTTGCTTAGTTTTGAGTGGGTGTTATTAGAACATATTGGGCACAACTTAAGGAGCTTGAATCTCAATTTTGGGATGATTTGGTGAAGTTTTGAGGTGGTTTGAATTGAAAATTCGACGTAAAAACTGAAAATGAAAAAAAAATGATATGTGTATCACATTGTGTATCATTTGTGTATCACATATGTATCATATTTGTATCAATTGTGTATCACATGTATATCCATGTATACCTGTGTGTGAGATACATACGTGATACATGTTTGATACATGTGTCGCAGAAGACTTTTTTGAACTCGATTTAATTACGAATTTTGATACAAAACCAGTCCAAATCACCTTCAATCTTCCTCAAATTTTGTATATTGACTTATCTATATATTTTCAATGAATTTCAACTGTACCCATTGAAAAAATTCCTTTTTTGCTTAGATTTTTGGAATATTGTATATATTTTTGTATTTCATCACCTTATTTGCTACCCCGTCAATGAAATTTCCTTTCCGTCTTGTATCTAATGTTGCTAATCACGCTTAAAAATATGGAAGGTGATTTTTGCATGTGATTCTTTGAAAGAAAGAACCTTATTATTTGGTGTTTCAATTTTTGTTGGCTAGTTTTGATAAGTTTATGACTAATGGCTAGAGGTTGGTAAGTTGAGATTTATTTGGGACATTTTTGTAAGTTTCCCGAAAAAAAAAGGTTAACTAATAATTTGGTGGAGTGTGGTTACAGAAAATGTCAACTGGCCCATTAGCTCAGTTGGTTAGAGCGTTGTGCTAATAACGCGAAGGTCGCACGTTTAAAACCTGCATGGGCCATTTAGTTCTGTTTACATACTTTTGATGTATTTCGGATTTTCCTGGCAGCTGTAGTTTAATAAGGCCCAAATAAATAGGCCGTTTATTTGGGGCTCTTAGCCCAATTTTTACCGCCTGTATTCGGTTTGGGATTTTTACCTAGCTATACTATATTAGAAACTTATTTACCTATGTTCTCTATGTTTTAAAGTTTTTAATAAGTATCTAGATTTTTCTTACAAATTATATATATTGCTTCCTAAAAGACTACACTCCATTATTAGTGCCTTCAATTAAGGTATTAAATTATATTCTTTCCTTTTTTTCCCTCTCCTCTTCTCTCTCCTTTTTTTTTTCCAATTAAAATCCCTTAATCTACGACCAAAATCTCCACCGTCTCTCCTCTCACCATTAACTTTATATTATTAAAAAATATTCTGAAATTTTATGATAATTGTAGGATAACTGTATAATAATTGTATCTGGATTGTGTCAGCTACATAAACGCTTAAAACATAAATGTATCATACTTGTATCACGTTTGTATCTAACTTGTATCTGGTATATTAATATCCAAAATAATACATGATACAATACTAATAAACTAATATACAATTATCATACTTGTGATACAAACTGTGAAATTCGCCATGAACGCACAATTGCTCGTAACAATATGCAATGAATATACAATAATCATTGTAATACAATTCGTGCAACAATGATACATATACAATTATAATACAATCACGATACATTTTTGAAAAATTATGACACAATTATGATCTTCATCTTTATCTTCTTCATCTTCAGTATTTGATTGCCAATGAGTCACACCAAATTTCGCACCCTCCTTGATAAAGAACTTTTGTCTCTAAATTAACAAACAAAAAAGTTTTTTTTAATCGATAGTATTATTTTCTAAAATTTCATAAACATATGAAATTTAAGAAACTAAATTCATATGTAATAACATCAAACATACAAAAAACATACTATACTGATAATAAAAAAAATTGGTGAAATTAATTTTTTCAGAGGCCTCATACAATCAGTATACAAAAAAACTTACGAGAATAAATAAATTATCTCATATAAGCATGTAAAACACAATAAAAACATGTAATTTAACGTACATTTCGAAAAAATTGTGACACAATTATGATCTTCATCTTCTTCAAGTTTCAATCACAATATAGGTCTTCATCTTCTTCATCTTCTATATGTGATTGCCAATGGTAGAAGTTTGGGGTGGGTCTTACGAGGAAGGGAGGGGAATGTGGCTTGAGACTTGGAGAAAATTGAAAAAGATTGAAATTTGTTGAAGATGGGAGTTGAGGGAGAATCGGAATCACTGAAGAAGAGGGGTTGGGGAGGATTTTCTGATGTGTTTGGAATTGGGGCATGGGGTTTGGGATTAAAGAGGGGGGGGGGGGTTATTAGGTGGGGTTAATTGGAAAGAGAACATATGATTTTGGGGTGGGTTTGTTGAGGAAATGAAGGGATTTTGGGTAAGTATTGATTTTGGGTATCTTAAATGTGAGATATTTTATGTAACTGATACCCACTATTTAAGATATATTTAATTTCCTCTTTTTTTAAGGTTTTGGGTAAAACAAGTAAATATAGGTATATATAGTTATTAATAAAAAACCTAAATAAAAGTAGTAAATAGGTTTCTACCATAATATAGCTAAGTAAAAATCCCATTCGGTTTCGTCTATCATCTTTGGGCTTTATCGGAGATATAACTTTTAAAATGAATTTATTATATACAATACTTTTCATAATTTAATTTAGGAATTTTACCTCCTATAGCAAAAGTTAACATCTTATTTATTTTAAATAAATACCATTTAAAAAAATTATATTCTATAGATACCTTTTAGTGTTTATAGCAAAATATCTAATTTTGGTTACCTCCTAACCCTAAGCCACTAAATACGCTATTCAATTACACTATTTTCTTTCTCTCTCTACTTTGATACATGCCGCTGTGGGAGAGACGAATTTACCTAACCCAGCCACTACATACGCTGCGAGAGTGCTCACGAACAAACCTGCTCAAAATCCATCAAAAACAATTCTTAAACCTATTGAAATAGTTCATGGAGAACCTACTGTTGTGTTTACTATGGAGGAACCTGGAAAGCTCACCGTTGAAGAAGGCCTACATCAGGCTCTAGTATTAAAATTTTCGTTTGAGAGATTGGAGATGCATGAACTTCGAAAGTTCTTGCCAAAACAGCTTGGAACTCAAGGTCGTAGCTTGATTGGGTGGTTAGTGAGAAGGCATATCCTCATCAAGTTTGATTTATATGACGATTATGTTGTTGCTGCTTCAAAAGCTGTTAATCATCTGCTCATTAATGGTGATTAACAACTCCTTATTCTGCCACCATTGCTCGACGGCGGATTCGCCGGAAATTAGGGTTTGTTCTTGAACAAAGACGACGGAGTTTGGGGCTGAGCAACTTGATCTTCTGTTAATATATTTCAATGTATTTTTAACGTATCACGCTGTATTTTCATGTATTTCATTGTATTCATTGTCTTTTTTTCATTGTAATTCAATGTATCTCGCTGTATTCCATGTATTTCATTGTATTCACTGTCTTTGTTTGTCACGATCCAGATTTTTCACCCTCGGGAGCCGTGACGGCGCCTACTAATGAGAGCTAGGCAAGCCAATTAACAACTACTTCTTTTAACGAACTTTGACAATATTAGGAACAATAAAGCATTTAATAAATAAGCGGAAGTCTCAAATATGATTAACTGAAAGAAATGCGGAAGTTTAACAAAACCCTCTACCCAAGACTGGTGTCACTAACTCACGAACGTCTATAGAATACTACATAAAAGTCTAAACAAAGTACAATACTGTTTGCTTCGGTACAAGTGATAACAAACTGAATAAAACAGAAGGGACCCCGGGCCTGCGGACGTCAGCAAGGCTACCTCGAATGTCCCTGGGATGAAAGCTCGCTCCCAAAATGCTACTGCTACTCAAATGCTGCTCCAACACCTGGATCTATGCAAAAAGATGCACAGAGTGTAGCATCAGCACAACCGACCCCATGTGCTGGTAAGTGCCTAGCCTAACCCCGGCGAAGTAGTGACGAGGCTAGACTAGACTACCAAAAAAACCTGTGCAGATATATATATATATATATATATATGCAAGTACAACAAAATAATAGCGGAAAATAACAATTTAAACTGGGAGGGGAACATGCTTATGGGGTAGCAGATGAGACAGAATATCAGGAATAACAAGGAAACTACATATGATTACGTCTAGCACAGAATAAGGGAAAACAAACCACTTTCACTTGTTTTAATTTCCTCTCGTTGCAGCGTGCAACCCGGTCCCATTTCATAATATCTCGTGGTCGGCGTGCCACACGATCCCATGTCATAATACCACGTGGTAGGCGTACCACTCGATCCCATTTCATAATATCACGTGGTAGGCGTACCACTCGATCCCATTTCATAATCATGTGGTAGGCGTACCACTCGATCCCATTTCATAATATCACGTGGTAGGCGTACCACTCGATCCCATTTCATAATATCTCGTGGTCGGCGTGCCACACGATCCCATTTCATTCAGCACAGTACACAATATAATCCCGGCAAAGGAGAAAGATGTTATAATAAACTATCCCGGCAAGGGTACAAGATAATATAATAAACTATCCCGGCAAGGGTACAAGATAATATAATAAACTATCCCGGCAAGGGGAATCCAGCTATAACCCAACTCATTCAATCTCTACTTAACACAATTAAATCCACACTTAGTCTCAACAATTACTGGCTCAATGTTAAAGATTTCCAACCAATTCTTCATAAATAACAATTACCAATTCGACAATTTATGCAAATTAGGACTCACGGTCATGCTCGACACCAGTGTATAGATACTCGTCACCATGCCTATACACCGTACCGACAAGTAGCAATTAACAAATAAGACTCTACTCCTATTCCCTCAAGCTAGGGTTAGACTCAACACTTACCTCGAATGCTCCAAACTCAACTCAAGCCTCTAGTATAGCTTTGCCCCTCGAATTCGGCTCCAACTCAGTCAAAGCTATGAAATAATGACTTTACAATATTAATAATAGCTAAACAAACTATACCCAATACCTAAATATGAATTTTCAAGCTTTCTTCCAAAAATTCCAAGATCCGACACCGGGCCCACATGGTCCAAACACGAGGCTCGGACCAAAACTCGATCACCCACAACCCTACGAGTTCAAATATGCAATTTGTTTTAAGATTCGACCCCAAATTGAGGTTGAATCTCCCAAAATTCTCAAAAAACCTAACTCTACCCAAAACCCTTAATTTACACCCTAAATTACATGATTTAAGCCTTTGAGTTTGATTAATAATGATGGAAAATGAAGAAAACAAGTTGGAATTTACTAACCCAAGTGGTCTTGAAGAAAGGAGGCTTCAATGGACGTCTAAGTGCTTGGAGAAGAAAGGAGTTCGTGTATTTTTGAAGGAATCCCGTAGCTACTGTTTCTGAAATTTAACATTTAACTGGGCAAAATTTGCCCTTCGCGTTCGCGGGAAGGGAGACACGTTCGCGAAGGGTTGACCTAACTGAGCATCGCGTTCGCGATTGAGGAGGACGCGAACGCGAAGAGAAAAAAATACTGGGGTCCAGGATTTAGGTCTATGCGAACGCGTGAAGGCCCACGCGAACGCGATGAAGAAGGCTACAAGGCTACGCGTTCGCGAACCTGTGAATGCGAACGCGAAGAGGAAATTACTGGGGTCCCAAGCTTGGCTTATGCGAACGCGTGAAGAGGTACGCGATCGCGAAGGAAGAAAATCAAAGGCATCGTGAACGCGGGTGATGCTCCGCGATCGCGAAGAAGGTTTTTCTGCAACAGCTGGAGCTTATTTTTCTGCAACTTTTTCTAAGTTCAGAACCACCCCGAACACCTCCGAAAACACTCCCGAGCCCTCGGGGCTCCTAGCCAATCGCACACACT